GTGGAGAGCCTGACAGCCGCCATCCTCAGCCTGGTGGAGCTCTACTGCAGCACCTTCAACGCCGATTTCCAGCCGGCCGCGCCCGGGAGCCGCCGSTTGGGCACGGCGCAGGAGGCGCGGCTGCTCACCTGCCCGCTGGCCTTCACCGTCTACGGCACGCACCGCATCCCCATCACCTGGGCCGCCAGGTCAGGGGCTCRCTGGGGTGTTCTGGGGGTCACTGGGGTGTTCTGGGGCTCGCCGGGGTGATCTGGGGCTTGCCGGGGTGATCTGGGGCTCGCCAGGGTGCCCTGAGGCTCGTTGGGGTGTCTTGTGGGGCTTGTCTGGGTGTCTCAGGGCTTGCCTGGGTGCCTTGGGGCTCGCCTGGATGTCTTGGGGCTCGCCAGGGTGATCTGGGGCTCACTGGGGTGCCCAGGGGCTCACCTGGGTGCCTTGGGATTCAGCTGGGTGTCCCAGGGGTCATCTGGGTGCTCTGGAGCTTGCCGGGGTGCCTTGGGGCTCACTGGGGTGTCTCAGGGGTCGCCTGGGTGCTCTGGGGGTCACCTGAACACTCTAGGGCTCATCTCAGTGTCTTGGGGCTCACCTGACTGTCCCAGAGCTTGCCGGGGTGCTCTTGGGCTTGCCAGGGTGTCTTGGGGCTCACTGGAGTGCCTTGGGACTCATCTGGGTGCCCCAGGGGTCATCTGGCCACCTTGGGGCTCACCTGGGTGCTCTGGAGCTCATCTGGGTGCCCCCAGGGCTCACCTGAGTGCTCTGGGGCTCACTTCGGTGCCTTGGGGGTCACCTGGACACGCTGGGGCTCACCAGGGAATGGTGGCACTGGGACATCCCAAAACCCCACCGTGTACCTGGTATGTCCCAAAATCCCAGCCTATTCCTTAAAATGCTGGGACACTCCAAACCCCACCCTGACCCTGGGAACGGTGGCACTGTGACACCCCAAAATCCCACCCTGACCTTGGGAATGGTGGGACACCCCAAAATCCCACCCTGATCTTGGGAATGGTGGCACTGGGACACCCCAAAAACCTGGGAATGGTTGGACACCGCAAAATCCCACTGTGTTCCTGGGAATGGTGGCACTGGGACACCCCAAAATCCCACCCCGATGTTAGGAATGGTGGCACTGGGACATCCCAAAATCCCACCCTGATCTTGGGAATGGTGGGACACCCCAAAATCCCACTGTGTTCCTGGGAATGGTGGCACTGGGCCATCCCAAAACCCCATACCGACCCTGGGAATGCTGGGATGCCCCAAAATCCCACCCTGACCCTGGGAATGGTGGCACTGGGACACCCCAAAATCCCACCGTGTGCCTGGTATGTCCCAAAATCCCAGCCTATTCCTTAAAATGCTGGGACACTCCAAACCCGACCCTGACCCTGGGAACGGTGGCACTGTGACACCCCAAAATCCCACCCTGATCTTGGGAATGGTGGGACACCCCAAAATCCCACTGTGTTCCTGGGAATGGTGGCACTGGGCCATCCCAACACCCCATCCCGACCCTGGGAATGCTGGGATGCCCCAAAATCCCACCCTGACCCTGGGAATGGTGACACTGGGACACTCCAAAATCCCACCCTGACCCTGGGAATGGTGGCCCTGGGACTCCCAAAAATCCCACCCCGATCCTGGGAATGGTGGCCCTGGGACACCCCAAAACCCCACCCCGACCCTGGGAACGCTGGCACTGCCACCTCGCTCCCGCGCTGTCGCCGCGGCTCCTCCCGGCCCCGGCTGATCCCGCGCCGCCACCCGGGGGAGGTGACAGAGGTGACAGCTGGCCCCACGCGGGGCCCTTTGTCCCGCTGCTCGGTGCCCGTGCCCGGCGCGGGGAGGGGACACCGGGAGGGGCCCGGGGGTGGCGGCAGCGGCAGCCGCCCCGCCGGGGACCCCTCGCCTTTGTCCTTGTCCTCAATGATTCCCCCTCGCCGAGTGGCTCCGAACAAAGGCTCGAGCCTGGGAAATGCCGCCAGCCCCCGACCCCCGGCGCCCCGCGGCCCCGCCCGGATTGTCGCGGGATTGTCGCTGGATTGTCGCTCGGCACCTGCCGCACCGCGGGGCCGCCCCCTCCCCCGGAATGTGCGGTGGCATATGGCGCTGGGGACAGCGGGGGGGGGACCGCGGTGACCCCCTTTCCCAGGGCACCTCCACCCTCGGGGAGGGATTTTGGGATGGTGGGACTGGGACACCCCAAAATCCCACCCTGACCCTGGGAATGGTGGCACTGGGACACCCCAAAACCACACCATGTGCCTGGGAATGCTGGGACTTAAGGGGTCTGGGAAAAGCCCCCTTTCCCAGGGCACCTCCACCCTCCGAGAGGGATTTTGGGATGGTGGCACTGGGACACCCCAAAACCCCACCCTGACCCTGGGAACACTGGGGCTTAAGGGGTCCAGGAAAAGTCCCCTTTTCCCAGGGCATCTCCATCCTCAAGGTGAGATTTTGGGGCTCTGATGATCCCAGAAAAAAAGCCCTTTTCCCTTCCATCATTGGGGCAGGATTTCAGGGGTCCAGTGGTACTGAGACATTCCAAAATCCCGCACTGACCCTGGGAATGGTGGCACTGGGACATCCCAAAATCCTACTGTGTGCCTGGGAATGCTAGGATTTAAGGGGTCTGGGAAAAGCCCCCTTTCCCAGGGCACCTCCACCCTCCGGGTGGGATTTTGGGTTGGTGGTACTGGGATATCCCAAAATCCCACCCTGACCCTGGAAATGGTGGCACTGGGACACCCCAAAACCCCACCCTGACCTTGGGAACTCTGGGGTTTAAGGGGTCCAGGAAAAGCCCCCTTTCCCAGGGCACCTCCATTGTCCGGGTGGGATTTCTGGGATCCTGCCAAAGCCCCCTTTCAAAGGGACCTCTGCCCTCGGGGACGGATTTTGGGGTTGTGGCACTGGGACACCCCAAAATCCCACCCTGACCCTGGAAATGGTGGCACTGGGACACCCCAAAATCCTACTGTGTGCTTGGGATGTTCCAAAATTGCAGTGTGTTCCTGGGAATGCTGGGACATCCCAAAATACCACCAAGTGTCTGGGAATGCTGGGACTTAAGGGGTCGAGGAAAAGCCCCTTTTCCCAGGGCACCTCCATCCTCTGGGTGAGATTTTGGGGCTCTGGGAAAAGCCCCCTTTTCCAAGGCACTTCCAGGCTTGGGATGGGATTTTGGGGCTCCAGTGATTCTGGATTCTGGTCCCTTTCCCAAGGGACCTCCACTCTCGGGATTTTGGGATGGTGGCACTGGGACTGGGACATTCCAAAACCCCAACCTGATTCTTGGGAACTCTGGGGCTTAAGGGGTCCAGGAAAAGTCCCCTTTTCCCAGGGCATCTCCATCCTCAAGGCAAGATTTTGGGGCTCTGATGATCCCAGAAAAAAAAACCCTTTTCCCTTCCATCATTGGGGCAGGGTTTCAGGGGTCCAGAAAAAAAACCCTTTCCCAAGGCACCTCCATTCTTGGGCCAGGATTTCGGGGCTCTGATGATCCCAGAAAAAGCCCTTTTTCTCAAGTGACTTTCATCCTCAGAGTGGGATTTAAGGGGTCCAGAAAAACCCCTTTTCCCAAGGCACCTCTGTCCTCAGGGAAGGATTTTAGGGCTCCGGTGACCCAGAACATTCCCCTTTCCCAGGGCACTTCCATCCTCGGGATGGGATTTTGGGGCTCCAGTGGTCCCAGCAAAACCCCCTTTCCCAGGGCACCTCCATCCTTGAGGTGGGATTTCGGGTGTCCAGAAAAAAACCCTTTCCCAAGGCACCTGTGTCCTCAGCAAAGGATTTTGGGGCTCTGGTGGTCCCAGGGGACACCTCCATCCTCAGGGCAGGATTTTGGAGCTCCACTGGCCCCAGCACAGCCCCATTCCCAGGCACCTCCATCCTCAGGGCACGATTTTGGAGCTCCGACACTCCCCACTCTTCCCCCCTTTCCCAAAGCACCTCCACCATCCTCGGGGGGAATTTCGTGTCTCCATCGCCCGGGAAAAAAAAAAAAAACAAAAAACCACTAATTTTCTGATTTTATTTTTCCCCCCTTAGCTATGAAGATTTCTACCTCTCGTGCTCCCTCAGCCACGGCGGGAAGGAGCTGTGCAGCCCCCTGCTCACCAGGAAAGCCCACGTCCACAAATACCTCTTCCACCTCATCATTTGGGATCAGCAGTAAGGGCAACGCCCCGGACCTGCCTTCCTCACCCTCTTCATCCTCCTCTCCGCGGTNGACACCCCAAAACCACACCCTGACCTTGGGAACTCTGGGGCTTAAGGGGTCCAGGAAAAGCCCCCTTTTCCCAGGACATCTCCATCCTCCGGGTGGGATTTCGGGGATCCCGCCAAAGCCCCCTTTCGAAGGGACCTCTGCCCTCGGGGAGGGATTTTGGGATTKTGGCACTGGGACACCCCAAAATCCCACCCTGACCCTGGAAATGGTGGCACTGGGACACCCCAAAATCCTACTGTGTGCCTGGGATGTTCCAAAATTGCAGTGTGTTCCTCAGAATGCTGGGATATCCCAAAATCCCACCATGTGCCTGGGAATGGAGGCACTGGGATATCCCAAAATCCCACCCTGACTCTGGAAATGGTGGCACTGGGACACCCCAAAACCCCACCCTAATCTTGGGAACTCTGGGGCTTAAGGGGTCCAGGAAAAGTCCCCTTTTCCCAGGGCATCTCCATCCTCAAGGCGAGATTTTGGGGCTCTGATGATCCCAGAAACAAAACCCTTTTCCCTTCCATCATTGGGGCAGGATTTCAGGGGTCCAGAAAAAAAACCCTTTCCCATGGCACCTCCATTCTTGGGCCAGGATTTCGGGGCTCTGATGATCCCAGAAAAAGCCCTTTTTCTCAAGTGACTTCCATCCTCAGAGTGGGATTTAAGGGCTCCAGAAAAAACCCTTTTCCCAAGGCACCTCTGTCCTCAGGGAAGGATTTTAGGGCTCCGGTGACCCAGAACATTCCCCTTTCCAAGGGCACCTCCATCCTTGAGGTGGGATTTCGGGTGTCCAGAAAAAAAAACCCTTTCCCAAGGCACCTCTGTCCTCAGCGAAGGATTTTGGGGGGCTCTGGTGGTCCCAGGGGCACCTCCACCCTCAGGGCAGGATTTTGGAGCTCCACTGGCCCCAGCACAGCCCCTTTCCCAGGCACCTCCATCCTCAGGGCACGATTTTGGAGCTCCGACGCTCCCCACTCTTCCCCCGTTTCCCGAAGCACCTCCACCATCCTCTGGGCGGAATTTCGTGTCTCCATCGCCTGGGAAAAAAAAAAAAAAAAAACACTAATTTTCTGATTTTCATTTCCCCCCCTCAGCTATGAAGATTTCTACCTCTCATGCTCCCTCAGCCACGGCGGGAAGGAGCTGTGCAGCCCCCTGCTCACCAGGAAAGCCCACGTCCACAAATACCTCTTCCACCTCATCATTTGGGACCAGCAGTAAGGGCAGCGCCCCG